ACACTCGTGAGCACACCACCGAAGGAATTCTGGACGCTCGATTGGCCCGTGGCCACTACCGGTCCTGTGCAACCTGACCTGACCTGACCTGACCAGCTGACTTCAAGTTGTTTTAATCACTCCCACATTGGCACTGGAGGCTGGCTTGAATTTTTAGGTAGAATGGCTACTGATGGAGGTACGTTTGATTTCAACAGTTTCATGACATTATTAATTACAGGAGAATTACGGAGACCAACCATTGCTGATAGAGAAGATGAGTACCGTTCGCGGAGACGGTTAGCAATGATATCACCCGCTCGGGTGGATCCATTTGCCGATGGTAAGTCAACTACGGTCGTCCGCTCTTGATAACCAATGGGCTTCGTAGGAGATTAAATTTCATTCTTTTCATTAACTTTATTTTTCCACAATTTTAATGTGTCCTGTTCAAATGAACCCGAATAGTGCTTTTTGGCTTGAATGCTCATCTGTGTAGCTAGGTTGAGTTGTACATTACTTTATTTTCGGATTTAAATGCTAACCGGTTACCTTAAAGTATATCTGTTCTTTTTATCCTTTTTTAACAGCTTCAATAGTCTGCCGTAATTCTTTGTATCACGAGGTGGTAGTTTTCCGTTGGGTCGGTCGATTCCGCTAGGCCTTTAGGTAAGCCTCAGATTCGCGCCCTTGAGCGCGTCTTTGGTCACTGACCGCCAAAGTAGAATTGACTGGTTAATTTGAAAGTGGTACGGGCCCCAGGGTGCGGTGACCGATTTAGTGCGTCAAACACCTGTCGTCTCATGGGTCAGGGATCAGAGGTCTGTTGCGAGACGTCACAAAGAATGAAGCCGTCCGAAATGGGCGGAGGAAGCCTACGAAACTCCGAGGACAACGAAGGATTCGGATGTGGGAACCAGGAATTCCGAATCCAGGTCGAGGCGAGACAAGACCTCAGCTGCGACGTTTGCATCTGCAGAAATGTCTTATATCAGTTACGAACTGCGAGACAGTCTAACTGGTGGACTCGGTAAATACTCATCATTAGTGGATGTCAAAGCAAACATAGGTTCGTGGTCGGTGAAAATCGTAAACTCACGTCCTTCAACCTCTTGTCGTGACGCATAGCAATATATATAGCTAGCAGCTCACGGCCGAAATTGCTATAGCGCTATACGGCTTCCGAAAACCGACGAGAAGAGAAACCTAAGGGTGGCCACTCAATGTGTTTGAGTTGCTGAAGAACCACCTGCGACAACGGAGGCATCGACGGCCAGGCTGAGGTGCATCCGGAGAGTGGTGAGCCAGAAGTGTGATTTGCGTAAGTGCCTCCTTAACGACTCTGAAGGCCTGAAGGGTAGCATCATTAAAAGTCACCACGGAGTAGATCGGTCACAGGCTGACAGATCTGAGCACAGCGCTGCATATAAGGACGGTAAAATCCAGTAACCCCCAGACAGTCGCAAACCTTGAGCCGTGGTTGGGACGGCCTAACGACGTATGTCCTCAACTCTGGATTCTAATGGACGAATGCCACTACTTTGTGGTGTGCCCCAGAAAGGTTAGCGAGGTGCGGCCGAAACCCTAATTTTCTGAAGTGATATGCCATAGAGACTGATCCTGTCGAAGACAAGTCGCAAATGACTTGTTCAGCTTTCTTTGTGCTGACAATGAGGATATCAAGGCAGACGAACAGGAAGTTCATACCTCGGGCTCACCACTTTAGTGACGGAGGTGCTATCTCACGACCTATGAAACCGTTCCGGTGTCTAATTTCCCGTGCTTCCCGGTATCAGGGATAACAACTAATTAGTCAGTGGAAAACATATTGTTCCCTTAAAGGTACAGGAAGTTTCACCTGAGTACGCTCGAGTGTCTGAAAGCGAAGGCGTAGCACTGAGCTCACTCACCATTTAAAGTGAAGTCATTTTACCGGAGGTGGCAGACTTAAACAAAGATGAAAAACCTACTTGGAGAAGCGGCCCCGGATATCAAAGATCCTACCAGAATCTATGCTACAAAGGAAGATGCACGAGGGAATGCTCCAAGCAGCCATGTGAAAGCATACTTGCGGGACAGGCAGACCAAATATGGTGGTAACTTTCGAGCGTTACACTGTCGGTCTGAAGTCACTACATGCTTGTAGGTTGTTGTACGCACTAACATGCTGGAGAAGGCTCCGACTTGTCGTTGGATCCAAATCCATTGCTGTGTCCAGGTTTGGCCAGTGTTTCAACCATTAGTGTTTGTTTCTGAGGTCACTCACGATCTGGGTGACAGCAAGTCAGTGTTAGCCACTTTTTTCGATCCAATTTCATTAGGGTAAGAAGACATCGTTCAGTCCTTCATTCACACGTTGTTGGACTGTAATCTCAGGCATGTTTCGCTGCAATTGATGTGCTTTGAAAAACGTGCCGTTGCAAAGCATGGTCACTTGAGGACCGTTTATTCGGAGGCGGTCTTGAAGTGGCTGAGTTGACTGTTCTGAGAAGGAAGGTGACGGAATCCTTGACTGTATTACGCGGTGCAATGATGATAATTAACGGAATTGTCGTAGAAGCGGATAGTGTAATAATATAGTAGGAAGGTACCGCTTTTTCTGAATTGGTGCTAACCCGTTTAGTTACTTGGCGGTTCCGCACAACCCTCCTCTCGCCTAGCTGCTGAACATAAAGATATAGATCTCTAAGGGTAACATCGAACCACCATTTTTGGATTGCACAGGGGTGTAACGTGGGTAAAATTGCCGAATACGGTATTTACAGCACTCTGGACTTAACGAGTGCCTACCACCAAATACCATTAAAAGAAAATGAGCGATGTTATACAGCCTTCGAAGCATGTAATAATAAATACACGACAAGGGGTATGAACTGCGTCACGGAATCTACGCTTAACCTACGTTCTCGCCGGTCTCAGTTCTGTCGAAAACATTAGGACTTCATGAACAGAATAAAAAAGAAGGATACGCGAAGCCTCATTAACATGTTTGAAGCAGTGGACACAATGAATCAAGCCACCAAATTATATATGCGAAGTCATTAATGGCATAACTTCGAGTTCGCGAGGTGATGAAACAGTAGGGCCTTATTTAGTTGATTGGTTATCAGGGTCAAGTTGGTTTCCATCACTGAACACTGTACCCTCGCGATAGTTGAGTTTTATCTTATCTGTTCATTGCTAAGAAAGCTACAGAAAAATTTCTGACCAGTGTGGTTTTCTCATCCGGTACGGTTGACACCTGGTTTTGAAGGCTAATTTATGAGGCTACCACATAGATACCGTCTACCCATATATGAGGAAGTTTTTTTCCGCCGTATGTGCTACTTTCGGTTTCATTCTTCAGTCTTTTTCAAGTGGGGCAGGATTGAGGTGATTCCTCGCAACGAAAGAAGTTTTTCAATGGTAGGCTCAATAACGCCGCACGCTACATCTAAACAGTCTGGTAGCTAAGCTTAGTCCATAAAGATGATTAGCTTAGCTACCCCCCAATCCAAACTAGCATTTAGAAATAATACCGTTGATGGAAAAGCTTTTTATTAATTATTATATATTATAATATATATATATATAATTATT